CCCCAAAACCCCAAAACCCCAAAACCCCACCAATCAAGTTTAGATTTTAAATCTCCTCATTATTTTGAGAAAATTAATCATCTTTATGTAAATAAACAATTATAAATGCAGTGTATATTTCACCCAAAACTTAGTTTTCAAATATTTCCATTACTTTCACAATTGAAATTTCTCCCTCAGCCAAATTAAGATATAGCGATTAGGAGTCTATGATAGTGAAAATAGCTAAAGACTAAATTTGCTTTATCTATCCTTTTTAAAAGCGAGCAATCCTTAGCCATTTTGATCAAGACTTACCACAACCATGATAGGGAAAAACAAGAAAAATAGAGAGCTTCCAACATCTTAGAATATATAAAGTAGCAGTGTGAAGACAAATCCAAATCCACCATAATATGCCCATTACTTTTCAAATTCTTCTATGCTCTAATTCAAGTGTATTTCCATTACTGCAGTTTTATATTCATAGCAATAGTATGCATGCAAAATAGAGTATAGAAATATATTGATCACAGCTGAAACAATATTTGTAAAGAGTACTTTGGAGATTATGTTAATTACTGATACTATCACAATGTAAATGGTTATTATAAGGACTCTCTGAGCCTGATAAATACTCTTTTCTCTCAGTTACGTTGAAACTTTGACATCCGCTTCCTATAGCTACTTTAAGTATTTCCCTGGATTTTCCTGTACCTTTTTCCCAGAAAATTATTTAGATAGCATTATGATCAATAATTGATCAAATATGTCCTGAACCCAAAAAGTATTTAGAGTTAAGGCAATTATATAGATAACCATTATCCAGAAGTTATAGAAAATGCTCATCAGTAGTTATAAACCAACTAAAAGCCAATGAGTAGTAGATGTTTAGTCACTTTCTTAAGATGATGAGAAAAAGTAGCTCACAAAGAAGTTGTAAAGAAATACACTTCCCATGTAAACCATCCCATTCACTATAATACAAAATAAAGTCTTTCTACTTAACTCTGCTGAACTTAAAATCTAAATCATGGAAGTAGGTATGCAAAAGACTGAGTCTCGAATTCCTTTCATAAATAAAGCTAGATCTTCCATTTTATAGCAATTAATTTTATTCTAATTACAATTTTGAACAAGAAATTTATAGATTTAAAGTATTAAGAATTATATAAACTTATTATTATTTAATTGGGTTTTATATTACACCATCTTATCAGACCTCTCTGATAAATTTAAGTTTATATGATTTAGTTTGGTTCGGTCGGAATTAGTCAATCGATCAATCTTTAAGATTTAGCTTTATGAATAAAATCTGTGACTCCTTCTTTCTAAAGAGTTTATTACATTCATAAAATTTCTTTCAAATAACTTACTTTATTTCCTCTTTATACTCTCTCATTTTAGTTATCTCCTATTTATACTTAGTAGGGTCCTCCATTAGGTTTGCTTAAGTGAGCTATTTGATCTTAAGGCAATCATACTACACAAAAATTTGGTATCAGTATTTTTATATAGATTGAAATTACCATTTCTTGTAAAACTTTTAATTCTCTTTCAAGTCTTCTTGCATTGGAACTTGAGATAGTTACACCATCTAGTATTTACATTAAATCTAAATTAATTATTACTAAGTTCCTTCATGGGAGATTATTGCTGGAATATCTTCACTCTCTTAGGAGGTGATTGAGTTAATGCACTCTTGTTTAGGCTCACTGATCTGTTCATTATTAGAGTTTTTATATTTAATTTATTTTAATTTATTAAGGTTTAAATAAATCACTCAGAGAGTTCACAAGAGTCACTCTTTATGAGCAAGGGTGATGGATCATGCATAGATAAATTTCTTTAATTTCATGCATCCTTCATAAAGCACAGTAACTTTCATGCTAGGCTATTCTCATTTATTGGTTTTGTTGTATTAAGAACTTCATTTTCACTTCTCTTTTTATATCTGTTATATCCGGTGCTTGCCATAAATCCTAGCAATAGAACAATAAAGGGCATATATGCTTCTTTCTTTAATTTTTTAGCACTCTACGGACTAGCCTCTTTTACCTTAAAGTCCCAGACTGATATAAGATACTTGGCTTGATAAACATAGAATGGGGCTAGAAATACAGGACTTATCATTCCAGTACTGTACATTCCTAAAGGAACTATTGTGTTGAATATGCTGCAAGCTGAGATTTGATAGAAGGCTTACTTTCCCTTGGGATCCTCGTTTGATATCATTTTAAAGCCAGCCTTTTTATAATCATCTTTATTCTCGTAGAGGATACCATAAAAATGAGGGAATTACCAAGAGAAGATATATGCTGAGAGTAATAAAGCCTCAGTTGAAAATGGTGTTCCTAACTGTGCCATTGATCCAATCAGAGGTGGTAAAGCTCCAACAATAGCTCCCCAGAATGTATTCCAAGGGGAGGTTTACTTCATTGGGAGATAGATGCACAAATATGAAAACCAAATACTGTTTGAAACAATCCATGTATATGGAGCGAATTATGAATAGGCAAGAAAAGAGGCGACTGATAGACCAGTTCCAATCATGCAACCACTCTTCGAACTAATAGTGCCTTTTGGAATTGGTCTATTGTGAGTCCTCACCATCATAGAATCTTGATGTGCTTCTTTCACCTGACCAAAGCACTATGTTGACATTGCTATTGTTTATGTTGCAAATAAGAAAGTTAAACTTGGAATTAATCCGACGCCAGCCAAAGGAGCATGAAAGAGAAACATTGTGTAAGAAGCCATTGAGTTGAGCATTGAAAGCTTGAATTTAGTAAGTTCCATGAATTCATCTTTAAATACCTTTTTCACCTTTCTCACTTGGTTTGTATCAATTATCTTTTGCTCTTTCACTTGACCGGAGAAGGCCCTAGCTAGATTTCTGTAAAGTACCATTTATTCTCTCTAGCCATTTGAGCTTGAGGACAAATAGGATTTAAGAAGTGTTTATCTCAACACTCTTTATTGCTTTGAATTAATGAGAAAGGCCATTAATTTATTATTACAAATATTATATTGCTGAGTATATGCTGTCTTATGGGGTTTTGGGGTTTTGGGGTTTTGGGGTTTTGGGGTTTTGGGGTT